TGTTATTCTCTTGCAAATGCAAAATAGACTATCAGATATTTGAAAGTTTGGAAATGCCTAGAGGGAGCTCAAGTGTTCCGAAACTGTATTTATATGTTCATATGTGAAGTCCTTCATGTAGAATAAAGATAATTAATAGCATTAAGACGTTAACCCTCTAATGCGTGAATTATTTAATCATTAATGAAAATATCTTAATGTAACTTCCTTTGTACAATTTTATAGTATTATTGTGCAACAACATTGTCACCATTGGGTGAAATACACCTTTTGGATCCAGAATGTCACTAAATCTTACTTACCCAAGACCACCAAAGACTTGTGGTATTTAATGAGATATTTTAAATATGCTTTGTGAAAATGCTTTTTGCACAACCTGTTGCATGCTAATTGCAGTGTGTAGTAATCTAGAAACGGTCATGCAAAGAATAATCTTCGATAAGTAAAAATGTCAACTATTCTAAAAAATAAAATTGTGAGAGAAACAAAATGAGGGGAGAGGGGAAAACATGAGTTAGTCACTAAAATCCACAGCTAGTTTATTTTACTAAAGCTGATGATGGAGTAGGAGTTGTGGAACCGCAAATGGACCGGACACATGAGCAGATAAAAACACAGCGTCATCATCTCCACAGATTTTAGGTTAGTTTGATTATTAACTTGATAGATCTATAGTGCTTTTTGTGTTTGAACAAACTCTATAGGCCTATATTCACTTATGTGTTGAGAAATTCATTTTGTGCGTCATGATGTAGTAGGCCTAAGCTTTTAATTTAAACGCATTAAGCATTGTGGATTAAAAACTAATTTAACTGTTACGGGACATTTAGCAGTGGGGCAAAATTCATTTTGCCCCACTGCTAATGCCGAAACGCACTTGCTCGTACAGCGCCTGACTAAACTAAGAGTTATTTTTCGCGCCTTGTGTTTAAACGTTCGAATACACATAGTTATGTGTCAAATGCCTGTCTCCTCATCAACACAGTCATTTGTGTCTTAAATGAACGTTAATAGTTAAAGTTAAGCATGTGCACTAGTTGGCTATTATGAGATCCTGGCATTATATGATGAGATTTTAAAGGGATATAGTTCACCCAAAAATTTAAATTATTATAGGATCAGTTTACACACAATACAAATACACAATACAAATAATATAATTTACTCCGTTTCAAGTTGTTCTGAACCTGTATGAATTTCTTTGTTCTCCTCAACTCCTCAAAGAATATATTTTGAAGAATATTCGTAACCACCAGGTTAAGTTTCTGGTCCCTGTTGACTCCAATAGTGTTTTTTCTCTCCATACTATGGAAGTCATGGGGGCACAGAAACTGTTTTGTGACCATATAGTTCCAAATATAGTATACGTTTGCATTCAACAGCAGAAGGAAACTCATACAGGTTTAGAACAACAACATAACTTTAATTTTTGGGTGAACTATTTCTCTAAAGCAGCCTAATATAGCTGCTGTTGCCATTTGTGTCAATAATGTAAATTAAACATTAGAAAGAAAATCACTCACTGTCCTTAACCGAATCACTTTTGTAAAATAATGTATACTGAATTTATACAGTGCAGACTATTCGGTCTATTTATTTTATACAATATATGGTAATATTTCTTATTCAGTGCTTTAAGTGTTTGTAGGTCAATTTCTTTGTTCTATTGTAATTCATGACTGTTTACTTGTCTTCAGTAAGTGTTTTTTACGTAGTCTAGTTTTTTTTTTATTTTGTGATATTGGAATTGGTAACAAGAATTATGAAATTGCAATGCATCAAAAATGTTGATTGGATAAAAATCCTATTTTAAGCTATATATATATATATATTATTATTATATTATATATATCATTATTGTGATGGGGGGCCCTGCAGTAAGTCATAGCCTCGGGGCCCAGTGGGGTCTTAAAGCGGCCCTGACTGTGATGATGGTTGTAAATTTATAATGCATGGAAAATCACTGGCTGTTAAGTTTACTTTCAAAAATGATATATTATGTGGTGATTTGAACCCCAAACCCCACACACTTGTTCATCATTCATTACTTCTCTTTCTTTTGTGTGTGTGTGTGTAGTGCAAGCCTGAGTACAAAGTCAAGGGATATAGTTCACCCAAAAATTTAAATTATTATAGGATCAGTTTACACACAATACAAATACACAATACAAATAATATAATTTACTCCGTTTCAAGTTGTTCTGAACCTGTATGAATTTCTTTGTTCTCCTCAACTCCTCAAAGAATATATTTTGAAGAATATTCGTAACCACCAGGTTAAGTTTCTGGTCCCTGTTGACTCCAATAGTGTTTTTTCTCTCCATACTATGGAAGTCATGGGGGCACAGAAACTGTTTTGTGACCATATAGTTCCAAATATAGTATACGTTTGCATTCAACAGCAGAAGGAAACTCATACAGGTTTAGAACAACAACATAACTTTAATTTTTGGGTGAACTATTTCTCTAAAGCAGCCTAATATAGCTGCTGTTGCCATTTGTGTCAATAATGTAAATTAAACATTAGAAAGAAAATCACTCACTGTCCTTAACCGAATCACTTTTGTAAAATAATGTATACTGAATTTATACAGTGCAGACTATTCGGTCTATTTATTTTATACAATATATGGTAATATTTCTTATTCAGTGCTTTAAGTGTTTGTAGGTCAATTTCTTTGTTCTATTGTAATTCATGACTGTTTACTTGTCTTCAGTAAGTGTTTTTTACGTAGTCTAGTTTTTTTTTTATTTTGTGATATTGGAATTGGTAACAAGAATTATGAAATTGCAATGCATCAAAAATGTTGATTGGATAAAAATCCTATTTTAAGCTATATATATATATATTATTATTATATTATATATATCATTATTGTGATGGGGGGCCCTGCAGTAAGTCATAGCCTCGGGGCCCAGTGGGGTCTTAAAGCGGCCCTGACTGTGATGATGGTTGTAAATTTATAATGCATGGAAAATCACTGGCTGTTAAGTTTACTTTCAAAAATGATATATTATGTGGTGATTTGAACCCCAAACCCCACACACTTGTTCATCATTCATTACTTCTCTTTCTTTTGTGTGTGTGTGTGTAGTGCAAGCCTGAGTACAAAGTCCCTGGTCTGTATGTCATCGACTCCATTGTACGGCAATCTCGTCACCAGTTTGGGCAAGAGAAAGATGTTTTCGCCCCACGCTTTAGTAAGAACATCATTACAACTTTCCAAAACCTCTACCGCTGCCCAGCTGATGACAAGGTGCGTTTGTTTCTCATGCCCCTGTAATCAAATGGTAAAGGTCTTGTCTAGACACTTTTTCCTTTTGCTTATTTTCCATTTTCAATGTTGCCTTGCAGAGTAAGATTGTCCGAGTACTAAATCTATGGCAGAAAAACAGTGTCTTTAAGAGTGACATCATCCAGCCTCTACTGGATATGGCTGCAGGGCTCCCACCCCCCAGCGTTACGCCCGTGTCTGCCAGCAGTGCCGTACCCGTCAACAGCACTACTCCTGGTAAGTCATTCACTCATAATGCATCCTCTGTCAAACAATACACTGTTGTGGCAACATGTTTTATATTAAGAGAAAGCAATTACACCAACCAAAGTCAATATGCAGGGCCAAATTATGACCTATAATGCCCCTCTTCACCACTCATTTTGACCCGTTTTACAGATGCAAGTTAGAACAGCTTGAGCTGCTACCGGTGACAAACAATAACAGTATACTCAAAGATTTTTGCTGTTTTCTTAAATTACTTTGTTTAAATGTATTGAAGCAACACAGTTTCACTTGAACATGTAAAATTTGTACAGTGGAAGTTAACTTAATCATTTTGTGTTCGGGACTACATGAATCATTTTTGTTGACATAACTAACTGGGCGGTGGGTCTGTAGTTCCCAGCATGCTTTGCATGGGACTGCATTAGGAGAGTCAATTTATAAGTGTTATTTGATGTGCTTTTTAGTAAAGAGAAAGACTTGTTAGTGTTTAATGTTCAGTGATGTTGGAGATTTAGAAGAGTTTCGGTTACATGAAGGCCATGATGTTTATTGCTTCACTCAAAGAGCAATGCCAATGCCAGTACTGAGACAAGTCACTCATCCTGTGCATCATTGTACATAATAATAATAATAATAAACAAAATTGTCTTTAGCATATTGCATGTGCTATTGCAACTATGTATGACACAGAAGCTTAAATTTATTAAGTTGATTCAGCAATGCATTATTTGTTTAAATTGTTTTATTCTTGTTGCATGGAAAATAATTTCCTTATTAATTAATTTAAGTTCATTCATCTTTTTTCTTTTTTGTGTGTACAGTGAAATTATCAACTAACTACGGCCAGATGTCAAAAAACAAAAAAAAAACATTGTGCCTTTAGCATACTCAGAGCTGCATTCCTCATTGCGTGGGAAATTCAACGTAACATAGGTTAATGTGTCAAATGTGCCAATCAAAATGTGACTTTGTGAAATAGACTAACTTAAATAGTCTTGTTCCATTTCGTAATTAAAATCCCTTTTCATCTTGACTGAGGGGCAGGATAGTCTGGGTGATCCCTGGCTGTACGCTTGTGTGTGTGTGTGTGTGTGTGTGTGTGTACAGAATATTTATTTTTCAGTATGTCAACACCTTAATCGGTCACACAAATTTGCCCTGTTGCTCTGATCGAAAATTCTAATTGAACTCTTAGCATCTTCTAGTTTATGCTGACACCTTGAGGGAAAAATTGAGTATGACAATGTGTTTAAAAGTCTGTCATATCCATTTCCACAAATATTTTTAAACACTAAAACATTCTTAAATCTGTGCTCCTGCTCCCTAAAGGAACTCCGGCAACTCCAGCCACCCCAGCCAACATAGTGCAGAGTCTCCCAGACTGGGCGTCTCAGATCTCCAACACAGACACAGTGGCTGCGGTCGCCCAGATCTTACAGAGTCCCCAAGGCCAGCAGGTTAGATTCCTCCACTACTGAAAACACTGTGTTCTCTGCACAGCTCATATCTGACTGGTGGGTATGTGTGTGTTTCTAGTTGCAGCAGCTGGTTCAGAGCTTGCAGATGCAGCAGCAGAAACCTCAGCCCTCTCTGCTGCAGGCGCTGGATGCAGGATTGGTGGTGCAGCTGCAGGCTCTGACTGCACAGCTCACTGCAGCCGCAGCAGCCAACACGCTCAACCCGCTGGAACAGAGAGTTTCCTCCTTTAACAAGGTGAGAGAACTTTTTGGAGCACTGCTGGAATAGTTTAATCCTTGGTTTAATCCTTGCATAACACCATTATTTTTCTGTTGTTTTGTAGAAGCTGTTGGGTCAGTTCGATTTTAGGAATGAGTCGGAGCACAGTGAGGATTCTAAGAAAGATGCTACACCATCTCAGTTGTATGTTCTTTTTATGCTAGGTTCAAGAAAAGCTGTTCCCCGTTTTGTTATTTTTAAGGCATGTTCTTACTGTTCCTCTCAGACCTGTGGTGCCAGAGTCCATCAACAGCTCAATATTTCATCAGCTGGCCGAGCATCTTCAGCAGCAAAACCTCGAGCAGTTTCAGAAACAGCTGATGGAGCACCAGCATCATCAACAGAAGGTACATAGAAATTGTTTAAAAAATTTTTTGTTTGTTTGTTTCTTTGCATAATGTATTAGAACTCTCATGTCTTTCTCGTACCTTGGTATTTATTAATGCACCGTATTTTTGACAGTCTATGACCATGGAGGGCCAGGATGCCATCTTTGGTCTTGAAAATTCTGCCCCTCCTGGCCAGAGCAGCGCCCCACCACAGCTCCCAGAACAAGAAGCAAAAATGGATGACTCCATTGATAACCAGCAACAGGTATGATCAGAGATCAAACTTTAGTTTGGAGGAGAAGCCTATGTAGAAGTTATGTATTGGCAATAGTTTGAAGGTGGTGTGTCACTAGCTGACTTGCAGAAATCGCCACCTTCTGTTGGATGTCTGTAATACTCAATAGCCGCTTTTCCACTGTTGGGCCAGTGAGACCCAGGGCTAACAACGAGCCAGGCGGGGCCAATAGCCTCGGACCTCAAGCCGCGAGGCCAAAATCAAGCTGCGTTTCCACTGTCGGACCAGGGCTACTCTAAAACCTGCCCTTAACACGCAATTATTTACAATAAAAAATAGTAATTTATTAATTATATATTTATCATATGATAATTGATGATTATTTCACATAAAAGAGAACACACATGCATGTTCAGTTGCTACTGCTCCATTTATTTGTGATGACAGGAATGCACAAAGCAACTCCATTAGGACATTTAAGTCCGATATATTAACACGATATAAAAATATTGATAAAATCTCATACGTTTACATCAAATCTCTTTAGAAAGAATGAGCATTTATATTTATTTTCCACAATGCATGTAATCTAAGGAGGTTTAAGCGCTGTCTACCGTGTCACTGTTATCCTTTCAGCCATGATGACAGTTATGAGTTACACAGAAAATATGAAATTTATGACATGCAGATGCAAATGTCCAGTATCAACAAAAACGCAGAGAAGAGACAGAACAAATATGACAGCAAATAAATACATGATTATAATCATGATTTATCTAAATTATTCATGCTGTCTCTTGTATTTTCATGAGCGTAATGTGTATTTATAATGCCGATGGTTAGCATACGTAGTAGTGATGCACGGATGGCGGTTTTATCCTCGGGTGCTGTGTATCGGGTGGGTCAGGTAATAAAAAAATGCATTCGGATTATTTGCGGGTGGGTCGCGGGTGGATAAAATAAATCATTAATGATGCAAGTATTAACTACATTTTCTAAATTATGAGCGTGTTTTAAATAGGCTACAGAAATTTAATAAACTGTAAATTCACATTAAAAGTTATTCAACAAAACATTTAGTCAAGAGCAGTAAGGGATTTTCTCTGTCTTTTGTTGTTTGATTAACATTAATAAAAGACAGCACAGCTTTATTAGACTGCTGTCACAAGACCTATTTCACGGATCCAATACTGATACCCATGCGTTTTATTTTGCAACTGTTTACATTAACTTAAGACAAAACCGACAGTACTTTCTCAATTTGGTACTCGCAGTACGTGCTTTGGATGTGACTGTGAGCGCACGCGCCTCTGGAGAGCGAGAGTACCGAATGACTTAAAAATATGTGAAAATAATACATTTTTGTGACGATGCAACAATGACCGATTAGGCAATTGACAATTCTGTCAACTGTCCCGAAACGCGAGCTAAAGTCTTCTATCGCAGAGTGCAGCAGCTCTAGATGCGTCGATGTGAAGTGAAAGTCAAAGAGAGAAGACGCGGTACAGCTGAATCACCTACGCTGTTTTCATCTGATGGTTTGTGTGGATTTATTTACTCATCTAACCTACCCGCACCCGATATTGAATAAAGGTTTTGCAGTAATTTCCCTCATTTTAAAGTCGAAAGCTGTGGGAATGAGTAATGCGATGTATGCGCAATCCCGCAACGAAATTCAGGATCTGATTAAACATAATTCTATTATACAGAGACTTGTGAAATAGATTTTCATGACTTTTCAAAAACTTTGAGTTTATTTATTTTTACAAAACTTTCTAGGCCTGGAAATTGCTGTTCAATTACTTTTCCAGGTTTTTCATGACCGTACGAGCCCTAATGTGATGATCGGGTGCGGTTATCTAAATCAGACAAAAATACAGGTGCGGGTGGATAATTTATTTGAAGCTGCGGATTCATGTGACGTTTTATCTCATCCGCGCATCACTAATACGTAGCCTTTAGTATTGTGTATAATAAATTTCTGCCTCATACGGTGATCCGAATTTCCATCAGGTCGCAATCGTACGTTATTTCAGATACCCGGTGGTGTCTGTAGTGAGTTTTGCCATTAAAATTGTTTTTAATGTTAGCTGGTAGCTTAATTTAAAACATTGGAAGTGAGCAGCGCTGCTGATTGTCTCCTAACTCTGATAAACTCCGCCTTTGTTCATGACCACTCCTCTAGCCCCAGTTGACCCCGCTTTGGCCCAAGGTATTTGGCGGGCCAAAAATCCCTGGCCGTTGGCACAGAGGAAGCCCTGTCGAGGCATGATCAAACCCCGGAAGTGACAGTGGAAACGCCACTGGCCCTGGCACGCTCACTTTTGGCCCAACAGTGGAAACACGGCTCATGATTAATAACTGAAGCTGAGTGACAAGCGGATAGTTGAAACACCAGGTTCACTTGTGTATTTTGCAGGACATGGATATTGATGAGGGACAGGATACTGTAGATGAGGAGCTCTTTGAGGCTGAGGAGAAGAAAACCAGCAGCACCCGTTCAAGGACACACTCGAGATCTCGGTCCAGGTTGGTGTAGTAATGTCACCAAATGGTTCTTGTCTTATTTAAATTTTTCATCCGCAGGTAAAGAGCCTCTTTATCTTCCCAGGTCACCTAAGAGAAGGAGGTCAAGGTCTCGCTCAGGGTCTCGGAAGCGCAAACACAGGAAGCGATCACGGTCTCGCTCAAGGGACAGAAAGAGGAAGTCCTCACGTTCTTATTCCAGTGAGCGACGAGCGCGGGAAAGAGAAAAGGAACGGCAGAAAAAAGGGCTTCCTCTAATCCGCTCAAGGGTTCTAAGTGGTAAGATAATAGAGGTCCACTTTTGCGTTCTGCATTTATAAGGGTCATATTTAAGAAATTACTGCTTTGCAATAGTCACATCTGTCATGTTTTAGTTTACATGACACATTTTCATGCTAATAAGTTGACATATAAATGTAAACTTTAAAGAAAGGTTTTATGAAATGTAATTATGTTCTATGGATGAGACAGTTAAGGTTTGTATCAATTCACAGGGCTCCAGACTGCACATAAAACGGTTGCATTTGTGACCAAAAATATTAATTTGTGAGTGATATTTTTGCTGAAATCGCCACTGGCGACTATATAAATTGACGTTATGACTTTAAAATTAGCATGTAATGCCTTTTTTCCTGCTTGTTATGCAATCACATCTTTTGTTTTGTTGACGTAATAAACTGAGACGATGTTTCAGTGGAAAAACAGTCCTCAACTCTGCCGAACACCAGCGTTGACGGCACACCTGCTAAAAGCAGGCTCCAGTTGTGGGAGCATCGATCGAAAATGACGGAGACATGTGAAGTAAAAGTGCAGAAAAGCAGTGTCTATTTCGTGCACAACTTGAACAAACTACAACAGGTGAAGCTGTCAGCTGTGTGGGCATTAACGATAACAATTCTCGTTTAGAATTGATTCTAATATGGCAGCTTCTTGGCAAGATCTTTAGTCTATTTGCTGTGTTCTGTTAATGCGTGACCTTCATATTATTTGTAGCGCACTTACAGTCAAATAATCGCAACAAGATTTGTGCTGTTAAATAAAGTATCAGCTTTAAAATTCTGCAAAAATCATAAAGAAATTCAAACAATAAATACCGTTTTGGTGCTCTTTAATGTGGCATGAGCGATCGCTTTAGCGCCTCTACTATAGTATTATAGGACACTGAATGAGCGATTACATGAGATATTTCAGTAAGTTGTTCTGTGTTTCAAACTGCGGGAAACGTGTTGTAAACAATGCCACGTAACAATCGTTTACCTCAGAATAACAGTTTGGCGTCCATAAGCCCATTAGTCAGCTAGAAAAAAATAACTATAAAGAGGAGCATTTTGCTAAATATATGTGCTATATTGCATATTTTTACTTAAACCTGTTGTCTGCATGATAAGAAAGAATGTAAGGTGCTAAAGATAAAATTCAGCACCTCATATATAACTGCTTGAAGAAAAATGGACTGGATATGTGCAAAACATATGACAACATTTATAGCATGCATTGAGGAGGAGCCCAAACAGCAGGTCTTCTTGGGTCCTAAAATCTGTACCCGACCCGAATCACTTCTTACCTGAACCCAACGTGCATTATTTTTTATTACATTTTTTTTTAAACCCGACCTGAGACTGACCCGATGAAATTAGACCTGAGCCCGTCCCGACTGCATTTATTTTCGAACCCGACTGGACCCGAACATAAACGGCATTGACGTGTGCACAGCCTGCAGCCCCACAGTCGGTAAAGAAAAATCCCGGTGTCCTGCTGACTAATTTGGCTGCTTCTCCATTACTTTGATTTATTTAAAATGTATTTAATTTATTACTACTCTGCATTATGGCCTGCCTGATGGATACAAGTTATTTCTGAGTTCAGCTTTCAATTGTCACCAGTGGATTAGAAAAATAAATGTGATGGCTCGATAAAAATTTAATCGATAGCCTAATAAATCATGGATTCACGTTGTCTGCTCTGCAATGCTATTTACCTCATCTCTGGCGAAGGGATTCTGCACACAAAAGAAAAGCCCTGCATGAACGTGCACCATAATGAAGCAAGTGGCTTTTCCTAATGGATCTCATATCTATAAGATGGATTTCTGTGTGCGAGGTTACAAACGTATGTTTCTTTTTCTACATGCGTTTCTCAAAAATGCACTTTACACCAACACTCAAGTACGTTAAATGCAACTAATACCGAACCCGGCCCGTGTCCGAGGCACTCGTTGAAGTTTTGCTCCTGCTCTGGTCTCGAGTCAGACCTCGGGTTTTCGGATCTAAGTGGACCCATGAAGTCCTCTAGCCCAAACTACACTACACTCAAAGGCCAAGTGATGCTGACATAGTTATTGTCCATGATATTAGCACAGATTCTGTGTAATAATTCTTTGTGACTATATATAGTTCTCAAGTTGGAAAAGACGTTTAGTTCCCACTTTAAATGAAGCTTAGTTCCCAGGACATCTTCAAGATGGATTAAAATGCTGATGCTGTAAAAGGAGGGGGTTACATAAACACATGACAATATGACTGAAATGTTAAATTGTGTAAAAAAAAAAAAATTTTAAACGCGTTTATTCCGTAGAACGTAAATTTTTTTGTCCGGAGCTCTGATTCATGTTCATATGAGTGGGAAAATCACAAATCTCCATATTTACTGACTGACTATTGCTTTGGTCTGTGAGCTTAAAGAGATCAGTGAGAAAATGTCAGTTGACAGAACTGTTACTTGCACTTTTCTTCTTCACAACTGTAATAGAAGTTAATTTCCCTTTATATTTATTTATACATGCGCACACACACACAAACACACACCACATATAAAGGATAAAGTAGCATGTCAGTTACCTCTTTCTTTCTGCCTCTTTCAGTTTGCAGCACTACTCTATGGGTCGGCCAAGTGGACAAGAAGGCCACCCAACAAGATCTTACTAACCTCTTCGAAGAGTTTGGCCAGATTGAATCTATCAATGTGAGTTGAGTTTCTGAAAACTTGAGTGCTCTTTAAATTAGTTAACTTTTTAATTAGATCAGTTATGCCATCTAGCCAAGAGGCATTTTTGGAGTCTCCAGATATTTTTGGCAGAAGTTTAATTGGGTATACCCTAAAGCGGGAAGTGTTTTAGGACAGCTCAGTAGGTCTGCAGGTGTTGCTTTTTTTTTTTTTTTTTTTTAATAAGGAGTTGGGGAATCTAGAAACTAAAGCTTTTACTGCACAAGTCTGAATGTAATGTTTTTTTTCTCTCTAGATGATTCCTCCCAGAGGCTGTGCTTACATCTGTATGGTTCATCGTCAGGATGCATACCGCGCCCTTCAGAAACTGAGCACTGGCTCCTACAAAATCGGTTCAAAGGTCATCAAAGTATGTGTGAAGAATGTTCACTGACTTAAAAATTATAGAACATCAAAAAAAAAATGGGGGGAGGGGAATATGTCTTAAATTTTGCGCTGCTTGCAGATTGCTTGGGCCCTCAATAAAGGGGTGAAACAGGAGTATAAGCAGTTCTGGGATGTGGACCTTGGGGTGACTTATATCCCATGGGAGAAGGTCAAACTGGATGACCTGGATGACTTTGCAGAAGGAGGCATGATTGACCAAGAGACTGTCAACAATGGTGAGAAGATTTTGTTTGTTTAGAAGCTGAAAGTTTGATATGTATTGTTTGACTTACATATTTGATCTTCTACACAGCACTTTTCCCATTCTTAACATTACTGTTTTTTATGATGCAGAATGGGAATCCCAGAGAAATACTGAGACTGCCAAAGAGACTCCAAATCAGGCTGTTACAGCTGAAACCAGTACAGCAAGCAGCACACCAAGTGAGGCCTTTACCCAGCCTGTCACTATGATGCCCATGCAGGTATGATGTTAACACTTAATTCAGGCTTTAGAATACCGTGACAAATGGAGCAAAAGACATTTAGGTTTCTTACCCTTGTATGTGATTGAATTACTAGATCACGGTACGGTGGCCGAGAGGTGCAGAACAAATCACAATTCTGAAAACAAAATAACAAATTACAAATGCAAATGCAAGTCTACAAAACAAAATAACAATTCAGAAAGCACAACAACAATTCAGAAAACATTATAACTAGTCAGAAAACACTATGACAAATTCGAAAACAAAATAAGTCAGAAAACACAATGACAAATCCGAAAATAAATTAACAAGTCAGAAAACACAACGACAATTCAGACAAACCGGAAAAGGTAGGTATAGTTTGAGACGGCGCCATTGGTTTGGGATTACTCACCGCTGACTGGACGAGACATCTGTCAATCAACGTGTACAGGAAAAAAGAGCCGAAGAACAGCAGAGTCGTGGTAGAAAGTTCGGAGATGGTATTAAAGTAGCTCAGTTTAAATGTATTGTATGAATTGCCCTTACTATGGAATAAAAAAATACGGGGTGTCTAGTAACTGTCTAACTATTGTCTAGTTAAAAGTGGTTGTAACACATCAGCTCCCTGTAAATTGAATCCATTGCTAATACGAGATTTGAAAAGGGAGGAAAAAAAAGTTTGGCAAAAGGCGGGATCGAACCCGGGTCGATCGCGTCAAAAAGCCAAAGTCAAGCGCTTAACCATTTGCGCCACTGGAGTTGATGGATTACAGCCACTTTTAACTAAATGTAAATAGACACCCCGTATTTTTTTATTCCATAGTAAGGGCAATTCATACAATACATTTAAACTGAGCTACTTTAATACCATCTCCGAACTTTCTACCACGACTCTGCTGTTCTTCGGCTGGTTTTTCCTGTATACGTTGATTGACAGATGTCTCGTCCAGTCAGCGGTGAGTAATCCCAAACCAATGGCGCTGTCCCAAACTATACCTACCTTTTCCGGTTTGTCTGAATTGTCGTTGTGTTTTCTGACTTGTTATTTTGTTTTTGAATTTGTCATTGTGTTTTCTGACTTGTTATAATGTTTTCTGAATTGTTGTTGTGTTTTCTGAATTGTTATTTAGTTTTTTAGACTTGAATTTGCGTTTGTAATTTGTTATTTTGTTTTCAGAATTGTGATTTGTTTAGCACTTCTCGGCCACCATATCACGGAGATGTGTTGTTTAGCCATTGAAAGACCTATGATAGTAACTGAAGGTTGTTGGTTCAAGTCCCACATGACGTGATTCATGAGATACTACCATTGCATCCTTAAGCAAGGAACTTATTTTGACTTTGGTCCATAGCATGAGGGCAGCTGAATTAATATTGAATTACTGTTTACTTAACCATGGGTGGCTTTTTTGGTTTAGATTCCAGTGGCACAGACAGTCCCTGCTGTTGGCCTCGTGCCTCCGTCCTTCCCTGTCACCATGACAATGCCCCCACCAGGCTTTGGTCCCCCACCACCATTTCTAAGGGCAGGGTTCAATGCCTCACAGCCTCCTCCAGGTACATGGTTCCAACCTGAACATTTAACAATTAAGCTTTAAACTGAATGATGGATTTAAAAAAAACAAAAAACATAAACATCAATCCTTAAATTTCTCTTTTACAGGTTTCATGGCTACGCCAGGAGTAGGACCATCAGCGCTTGGAACCAGTCTTGCTTCAGCTCAGACCTGTATGTTAACCAGCCTCTGAAATAAGTTATTCTTATTTTGCGTAATGTTGCTTGTCAAAGCACTGTCTTTAAAGGTCCAATTTTCAAGCTCCTAAATGAGCCCTTTACCACTCGATCTCCTTTATAGCTCTAGTGCAGCCTTCGCTGCCAACCATTCAAGAGAACAGCAAGGATTCTCTGTTTGGAGCCATGATTCCTCCCACCAGTACTATTCCTGGGAGTTTTATTCCATCAGCAATGCCCGGGGCAGGAGTCTTTAACCCTGTGGGAGCACAGCATCAGCAGAGCAGCGCTGACAAAATGCCTCAGTCGGCTGAAATGATGGAGACAGCTTCTGAGATAACACTGCAGGGTAAATGGGTTTATAAGTACATTTTACATCCTCAATACAAGTCATGTACAGCTAGCAAACCATATGTGGTTATTTTTTCTGTCAAACACAAAAGGAGAATTTGATGACTTTTGTAGCAATTCAGTGACTTGTTCATATGACTTGTGGTGCTATATTCTAAGTCTGGCATTGATGCATCTGCGTGCTAATCTAAACGTGGTTAACGGTGATATTTTAGAGATTTGGTGGAGAGGAAGATTACCATTGAGCACATTTACATTCACACCAATATGAAACATTTTGTGTTTATCTTTGTACTCTGGGTAATTTTTTTATTTTTTTTGTTGTCAGGAATGCAAAATGCAGTGCGCAGTGGAATGGGTCTGCTAGGTTTGCACCCTTCTGCATCTCTAACACATCCTCTCTCTGGCCAGAGGATGGCAGGGCTGCTTCCCCTGGAACTGCGACCCAACCTGCTCCAGGGACCTGGGGGCCGCTTCCCCCTGCTCATGCAGCCAGGTCTTGCACATCAGACCAACAATGTCCTGGATGCTTCACTTCAAGCCCGTGTTCGGGTTCCATTCTCTCAAATGGAGCAGTTCAACCGTGCTGAAGGCACTTTCGCAAGGGCACCTAACCCCTCATCTGCTGGAGCTGACAGTCTGGCCAAGGCCGATAATGAGACACCACCCAGGTCAGATGTAGGTGCCCAACAAGAAGGAGATCAGGACTATCGCTTTCCACCGCCAGAGAAGCAGAGCACAGGGTTGTTGAAGACCCCTCCTTTGGAGATGCGTACTGAACCTGTGCCTGTCAGACCACCTTTACTAGAACGACCTCCAAGAACAGTCATGCAAGCTGAAGGTCGAGAAGGTCGAAGAGAAAATATGTCAGGAGGTTTCAGGGCAGAAAGTCGCTGGGGACCACCCAGGGGTGACTTCGATGAGCGAGACATGAGGGGGATGTCTGCTGGACCTCCAAAGGGTTTTCAGGAGGAACGGTCCAACCCTAACTTTCAGAATCGTTTTGAGGGCCGCAGCGGAAGTTCATCAGGACCTGCTTGGAATCGTGGAACTGGGCCTTCTTTTAACGCAAACATGCACCAGGACTACGATGATCGTCGAAGACCTTGGGAAAGGCAGAAGGACCGAGATGACAGGGACATGGACTTCTGGGGCGAAATTAATGGCAATCGTCAACGTGAAAGGGAGAGGGACAGGAATCGGGACCGTGAACGCGGCAGAGAGCGGAATCGCGAGAGAGATCGAGAATGGGAGCGTGAAAGGGACAGAGAGAGGGAGCACGAGAAGGATAAAGAGCGGGAACGGAAATGCTGGACTCCCCTTTCTTCACAATCTCAGCCTCAACCGCTGCTTCCCAAGTCTCAACCACTGCTCCCTCTACCGACCCCCTTGGTTGCTCAGCCTGAAGTACAAGAAGAAGTGCAAATTAACTCACTGTCTCTACCGGTGCCCCAACACCAGCCTCATCCGGAACCACAGCCAACAGAACGAGAAGCTGAACCACAACCAGAGGTAATGCCAGAGCTACAGTCGCAGCCCAAGTCACTCAGCTCCGCTGAAGAGATGGCAAATAGTCAAGAGCAGGAGAAAGCCTCACGAATCAATGGAATGGAGACCGGATCAAAACCTCAATTAAACATTTTGGAACCTGCATCCCAGACCGCTACAGAGCCCTCTCGTAGCCCCTCTCCATCCCTTACCTCCACACCCACCTGCTTCCAGAATGAGCCCTTGAAAAGAGAGAAGACCCCAGAAATGTCTGTTTCCTCATCTGTGGATGCAGACACTGAACAGACTGGGCCAAAGGTGAACGCTGAGACTGAACCTGAGCTAGAGAAAACAGACACTGAGGAAACATAATCATCACTCAGTAGGTAAAGATCATTTTGTATAGTCATCTCTGTAATCGTTTTGAAAGCTCTCACAGGACTCACTCAGTTCGCTAGATTATAGCAGACATCTTAACGAATGATTCTTACCTCTCAAGCTTCAAATGTATATGCATTCTAGGCGGCTCACACTAGAGGATCTAAATGGTAGGTGGGATTTTAATATTTTATTTTCTTCCCTGTTTAAGTTTTTAATGCAGCCCCATTGTTTTAATTAGGTGTTTTTTTTCTCTCATGACACTTGCTTGCCAAAATATTGTGTAGCCTAATTGTAAATGCGGGAGGAAAAGAGGTTTGACCTTCCTATGGAAGAGTGTAAGGATTCTGGCTGTTTCCTTTGGATTGATTGAATTACTTGAAAACAGCACTGGCTTGTTTAGTCTTTTCTTTTCAAAACTGCAGCTGCAAAATTTGAAATGAATGCTTCTGTGGTGTCCAATGCTTCTCGTCTCTAAAGCAGAATATACGTACATCAGATACAGTGAGAACAGTACTGCGTTTTAGTTGCTTTGAAAAGGAACCTTTACAAAAAAAAATTTTACTACGATGTATTATCCCAATATTAAATGTCTGTGATTTTTCTGCATCAAACTTCCATGGAAATACAAGAGCTCAGAAAAGGCGATCAAAGGAAATATGAATGTTGGGTGCAATCTGTCTTAGTTTCAAATAAACATGCTCTGATTGTTAAAAATTCTTTAGGACTGTGTTTTGTGTCGAGAAGAGAAACCATCTGCACACAAACCATTAAAGGCATGAGCCAAGTGAAAATGGCCCAAGTGTCGTGGATGGGATGAAATGTTTTGTGAACTGATCTACACTTTGGGCAATCACCAGATGTTTGTCTATGTGCTGTTAGGTTTGCGTTTAGAACTCTCCTCCGACTCCCTTTTACACAACAGAGCAGCTATGAGTGCCACATTAAGTCTTGAATGCGTTGGAAATCTGTCATGCACACATCAGTTTTGATACAGCTCCACTTGTCTTACACTCACACACATCAAATATATCAAACATACACTGCTAGTGTTCAGTCACACAAAACAGTTTACTCAGACATAAATGCTGTCCTCTAAACTTAATAGAATGTTAACCACCTTTATTTTCACCAAAACTGAGTATTACAGTCTATTGCAGTCATTTATCTACAGGAATGGGGGAAAAGAAAAAATAGACAGCAAATTTATAAATTAGTATTTTTTTCATTGTGAATATATTGACTAATTTAAAGTATGCCTACTTCTAAAGTGTATTGCTCCAGTTTTTTGCATGTAGGCTTAATTTTATATAAAAAGTGGTGTCCAATTCACTAATTACTTGAATTTTAAGAATCACGTTAGATTCACACATCAGTGTCAATTACTCGCAGATTTGAGTTTAATTAAAAACTGACTTAATTGGGGAAAAAAAAGTTTCACCGTGTAAATTTAAAAAGAACAGATAACCATTACTCTTGAGTAGTTCCTGAGATATCCATTTATTTACTGACTGCTTGACATTGTCAGTGCAGTTCTGCAGTAGAAATTTGTTTTTGTTTTTTTTATAATAAAATAATGATTGCAATTATTGTTAAAGCATGTAGTCCGCACAAGCCCAGTTGTAAGCAAACATCTTTTTTGTTCTCAGTTTGGGAGTAACAGGAATGTAGGTGTCATGTTGGAATATGTACATTTTGTGCCAAGCAGCCAGAAATGCTTTAACAAAACGGTGGTAAATGGATGGCCCAAATGCAAATAACACCTCAAATAGGCCTACTTCATTATTTGAACCTTAAAGGGTTAGATGAAATAAATTCTGTAATCATTTACACCCCCAATATCATCTCAAACCTACAAGACTTGCATCAAGTAATATTTAGTTTTAATATTAGCTCATTATTTTTGTCTAAAAATCCATGCAACCATAATTCTCACTCTTCAAAAAGATGTCATAAAAGTAATGTCACTGGTTCTTGAGTGAGCATGGTTGCACTTCCTTTTACTATATTTGATGTGCTAAAAATATGTACACTGATCAGTGTTTATATGTGAATAAAAGCCCAAATTAAATCTTTCCATATAAATTGATCATGTCTCTTCAGAAGATTAAATCGCTCTATTCTTATGCTCTATATAACTTTTATGATGCTTTCTATTTTTCTGATGCGTGAAAACCCACTCTTTTCAGCTCTTTTAATTACCAAAATTTTCTCTTTTTTGTTCTCAGTTTGGGAGTAACAGGAATGTAGGTGTCATGTTGGAATATGTACATTTTGTGCCAAGCAGCCAGAAATGCTTTAACAAAACGGTGGTAAATGGATGGCCCAAATGCAAATAACACCTCAAATAGGCCTACTTCATTATTTGAACCTTAAAGGGTTAGATGAAATAAATTCTGTAATCATTTACACCCCCAATATCATCTCAAACCTACAAGACTTGCATCAAGTAATATTTAGTTTTAATATTAGCTCATTATTTTTGTCTAAAAATCCATGCAACCATAATTCTCACTCTTCAAAAAGATGTCATAAAAGTAATGTCACTGGTTCTTGAGTGAGCATGGTTGCACTTCCTTTTACTATATTTGATGTGCTAAAAATATGTACACTGATCAGTGTTTATATGTGAATAAAAGCCCAAATTAAATCTTTCCATATAAATTGATCATGTCTCTTCAGAAGATTAAATCGCTCTATTCTTATGCTCTATATAACTTTTATGATGCTTTCTATTTTTCTGATGCGTGAAAACCCACTCTTTTCAGCACCAAAATTTTATTTTTTGATAGAGCTACTAAAGTGCTCCAACCGCTGTGATTTATGAATACCCACAATTACTATACAATTTAGTAGCAGTATGTGAAAAGAGTAATATTTGTAATCATAAAAACAGTAGGCAAAAAGTACCTGGATGACCAACTACGACCATCTGAAATGTGTGTCCAGTAGATGCTTAACTATTCCATGAAGCCCATGAGAAACTGACACATGACAATGCCAATATTGCAGCTGGATTGCAGTCATACTACATGCATGCGTACTTCATAGAACATTTATAGAACAAAGTAAGTCCTGTTAAATCTAGTACCTGCTATGATCGTATATGATTTTGGATGCAGCGATAGTATTTAAGCCAATATCAATGACATCTCGTGATTTATGAGACCTTTGCCATGCAGTGCACTGCTAATTACCCTCATAATGCGCCTGGCCATGTATGTCAGCAACCAAACTGGCAGTTTGAAGGTGCTGCTTATCCAGCCACCTGCTCTTGGCATGATTTCTGGAGGGGGAAACACACTCTTATTAGCTCTAGAAAATAACTGACGCTAAAAGATGGTTAATCAGCAGAAACCTCTCTCTGACTTCATGGAGGTTTCATAGAAGGACTAAGGACAGATTTAAGATCTAAGGACAGACTTAAGGACATTACCACCCCATGACCTATTGATTAAAAACTACGGACCTAAGATAATTGCATGAACAATGAAAGATAATGATGGACGCACTGAGCTAAGTAACGCATGCAAAGCCTGACATATGAAATAATAGTCAGGAAAATCGTTTTTTTGTTTATTGAACCTTATGACAAAATCTAAAACATGTTGTTATATTTGATGCATCAGGCTTCTATGACTCAAATGAATGCATACGGGTTTTATGACTAAGCAAAAATATGCAATTGGTTTAGTTGCTGATATATGGCCAAAATACAAGAAATTCTTGCATGTAAATCAATGAATATGTATATTTGACTACTTGCATAAAATGTGTGTAAGTGTCGGTTGTCACGCCATATCTCCCAGTAATATGTCTTAGTAAGATGATATGTAAATGCTTAGTTTTGTGACCAAAGGTCTGTAGTTTTTATTGTGGGGGCAAAACATATAATGCAAGGCGATACAATGATGATTAAGAGATGTTCCTCAGATGCCCGATATATTTCATACTCCCATTTTAACATGATTTTTGGATAACCAAAACATTATTTATGGATAACTAAGTAACCCTAAGTTGCCTCAGGCCAGTAAGTGAAATATTACAACATAAAATGAATTAAATCGGTAAAGGTTTCGCAGCAAAAAGACACGTGCACCACAACCTGAAGTGACACATTTTTTTTAAATTGTACTAAGTCATTTAGCTGCTAAAAAAGTATGCACAATCAAGTAGATGACACATGGCATTTAGTTGATTGTGTACAACAGGTTTTTCAGCAAGGTTGTTTTAGAGGCTCAAGAAATTTGCTTATCAAATATGATATGGTAGGCTTTACAGGGATAAGCCAGGCTTTACTGATCCCTACATATATCCTCAGGCAGTTTTAGAGAATGGTATAAAATAAGCTCTGGACTGGAGGCAGAGCATGTGAGGAGTGTGAAGCATGCGTTCCCAGCAGTTCTGTAACCTCTTCAGCTCTCAGCAGGGGCCTCCGCTCAAGCTGGTCTTTAAGGACCAAAGCTCACTTCTGTTTAATTAACAGTGCTTTTATGTGCTAGGGCTTCAAACGTGTACCTTTGCTTATGCTATCTTACAATATCTCACTTAAAACATACAGACATCAGCAGCGCTCAAAGTGAACATGTTTGTAATGGTAGCATTCTTCCCATTTTAAAAACAAAATAGTTGGTCTGTGTTCTTTTATTGTAGGAGTCCATTTACTCTCTGCATGACATCCTGCAAAGCTGCATCAAAATGTTTGAGGAGAGATCCTTCATTAGATCTGTCTCCGCTTATTAGTTTTTCTCAGTTGTTTCAACCTGATCTCATGAAAGTGCGTGTAAATAGTACGCCAAATAAAAACGAAAACTCGTGGTATTGATACGCAAAAATGGACTTTGTCGTGTATATGCTATGTGATGGGTAGGTTTAGGGTTGTGGGGTAGATGCGTATCATATGTACGCGAAAACTGCGTATTATATGCACGCCAAACACATGCGTACCATATGAACGCCAAAGTAAATTTTTGCGTATCAATACCACGAATTTTCGTTTTTATTTGGCGTACTATGTATACGCATTTTCATGAGACCGGGCTGGTTGTTCACATACTAAAACAATTATCTAAAAGATACTCACTTTCCAAAACTATAAACAGTTCTCACAAATCCCAAGTCTATTTTTTAATAATTCTAAAACACTAAACACCATGTATAAAGCACTAGCATTCAATGTCATCATAACATTTATTCCGTGTTGAACCCTGATGAAGCGAAATAGTCGTCAACAGCCTGAAAAATGAATAAGCCCACAGAAGAATTCACTGCTTTCGGTCAAGACAGTGCTAAAAGTGCTCAAAATAGACTTTAAAAGTCTTTCATTTTTCCCTTCCACAAGTTAGAGAGATAAATCACCCAAAAAATAAAGTTCTGTCATTTACACACCCTCAAGCTGCTGTTTGGTTACTCGCATTTTTCAAAATTTCTTGTGTTCAGCAGATTTGGAACAACTGAGGGTGAGTAAACGATGACAGAGTTTTCATTTTTGGGTCAACAGTCTCTTTAAGGCCTTCAAGTCTAAAATCAGAGCTGTCGTTTTAAGTTCGTAGAAGTCATGACTTTAAATGTTGCATGCAGTGCAAAAAAAATTATTTTCCACAGTATTATCTTGTTTTTCAGTACGAATATCTCAGCCTTAAATCAAGAAAATTAATATAGTTATGAATGTAGTTACAGATTAAGTCTTGTTTTCTGAGAAACTGAACCAAAAAAAA